TAGTGGTGCCAAAAAAGCTGCATCATCCATTGACACCATTATCAATATACAAATTTCCAACGATCTCAAAACTAGACTGAAGAAGCTTAATCTATCCACCTGGCAGATTCACTGGAATAAAGTTTCTTTAGCGCTGCATGAAATTAAACCCTTACCTATCCCAGTTTATCTCGAAAAAGTATGGCAATCATACGGAGATTGCGTATAGGACATACCCGTCTAACTCATGGCTACCTGGTGACAACATCTTCTTAACCAAAATGTCAACATTGCAATACGACTCTTCGAATCAGACATATACTTATCGAATGCCCTTTTTATGTCAAAATACGCCAACAGCTCGATATCAGTACTATCTTCAAAGAAGACCTAAATAGAACAAACCAAATCAACAAGGTTATCAAATTCCTCAAGAAAAGTCAACTGCTCAACAAAATATAAATGTTATGTTACATGTTTTCATTACTTTTTCTTTATGTTAAATGTTAACTACATTATTTTGTAATTTATCTGATCTTCTTCTTCTTCTTAGTCGTTAACCTGATGCAGGTATCGTGATATCATGAAGCTATTAGCTAAATTTCCCCATGTTCCTCCACGTTTTTCTATCTTCTGCCATTCTAGCACATTCTGACAATGGAGCGCCAATGGTAGCAACAATTTATCTGATATTACCATGCAAATCGTAACTTGTACTAATGACCATAGATGTCACATGCACGTTAATTTAAATAAAAAAAAACTATAAAGATGAATTATGCGGTACAATCTTCGAGATTTGAATTTTTCACGGACAGGACAGACAAATGAACGCCACGTGCAGCTTTCATCAATGATTTATTTATGATCTAATTGAATCTATGACGTACAACAATAATTGTTTTGTTTTCAGTAAACACATTTTCCTTTTACATATTTTATATAAATCCACTGCCTTAGAATAATTCAAAATTATTCTCTTTATTACTTTCTTCGCCAACTGTACGAAATATTTCACATACAAATGGAATGTTTTTACTTAAAGTGATAATTTAAAATAAGAAAAATTTATATTTAGTATTATATGTTATTGTTCCTTTTGTATGAGTAGATTAGGTCATATTTTAAATATGAAAAAAATCAGCAATCACTGCCAATGATGTATATAATAAAACCTTAGTTTACTCAGCACTGCCCGAGAAATACCTCACAGAGAAAAAACTGGAACATATACTGCCAAATGTTCAATTTTTGAAACTTTTAGTATTTTTATTCATTTGATTTTTGCGATTAAGCACAGTTTATATCAGCAACTTTACATTATTTTATAATATATACAATAACGCAGTTTTTAAACCCGTGAAATGAGTATTTTAAGTTACTAGATTGTTAATTAGTGAGTAATGGAAAATGTTAAGCCAAAAAATCCAAAAACAATACCTATCTAAATTACAAAAAAAAAACAAAATTGTAAGTTGAAGTGTATAAAACAACAAATTACATCAATGTGTACTGACAACTGACAGATGACAATTGACAACTAACAATTGACAGTTGTTTTAGTATTTTGGATTTTTTGGATCGTATATTTCCATTACGTGTACCCATAGACTTATCGAGACCTTTTTTAGCGTAAGTATTTTGACAAACGTCAATTTTTCGTGGACTTAAGGATCTACAGCTATGGGCTGAAAGTATGACGTCGCTTAGGTTACTTCATGAAAATATCTTATATATTTACATTAGATAATATATGAAATAAATGTATCTATGAGATAAATATTGTGCTATTATATGGACACGTTTTAAATTCCGTTGTGTCTGTTGATTTTTAAAGTGTAAAAATGATTTTGAGGCATATTTTAGTAAAGTTTATTTATTAAAGGTAAGATTGTTGTGAAAGAGTCTAAAAATGTTTTTAGTCTTATTTTCTTGCACATAGGTCGATTGGGTGCCCTGTTAAAAGAATGTCTATGATATTAAAAATAGTTTTTTCGTTTTACTAAGGCTTTAATTTTTTTTTAATGAACTATACTGTTTAAAAATGATTGTTTGAGTGTGTCACTTTAGGTTTCAATCTACATTTTATAAAACAGCTGTCCGTAAAATAATTTGATCAAATATTGCAACCAATAATATACTCAGATGCAAAAAAGGAAACGGAGAAAATTTTGGTCAAATTCAAAGTATTTCAGTTTTTTTTATTTTTAGCAATATTTTGATGATTTTTTCAGCACACTGTGTAAAAATTTATAAATTTTAATCTAGTATAGTGAGTTTTTTAATAAAATTTTTTATTTGACTTATATACGGGGGTAATCGAAAGGTGGTTTTTTATCCTAACTTTTAAACAACCTGTGGAATAATTCCCTTAGCGGATTTTCGTAAAAACTTGTTTTTCTTGAAAAACGTTTCGTAAAAACTTGACAGTGTGCTAAAATAGGGCTAAAAATAAAAAAATTAAATACTTTGAATTTTATCAAAATTTTTTCCGTTGCGTTTTTTTGCATCTGAGTGTAGAAGAAAAATGTACTGTAGACGTGACCAACAAAGAATAAAACGACTTGGCTAAAGAACTAGCATCACTGGTGTGAAGTTAGCGGTAGATAAGAAGCAATAAATAGAGTGAAGATCAAGCAATAAGTTGTGGCTGTTCTAGAAAGTCAAAGCTAGTATAAACGACAGCTAATAGTCATGTTGTATCTTTAAAAAAAGCGCGAAACAAAAAAGCACTCAAGTATAGCTAGAACCTGAAGGTGATTACCATTTGTGGATTCAAAGTTCTTGACATGAACCAAATGATATGTAGATTGGACGTACAATTTAAAACTAATTAAAATACAAAGTGTATCGTGAAATAATATTAGGGTCATATTTTCAATGTTTGTACGAGTAGGTCAAATGTACCCCACGCGCATCATATAAGCAGCTTCTACATACAATTCAAAAAATAAAAAATATCATACCAAACGAACCTTATGATAATGTTGGGTTCATGGTCTTGGAGTTGTTTAAATATACCCCTTTATATAACAAAATAATATTGCAATTAAACATTATATTTTCAATAAGAAGGAAATACAAAATTGAGAAAAGATAAAATCTTAAAATGCACCAAAGGGACTTAAACCATGTGTATATGCTTTTAGTAGTTCAAATGTACCGCAAAAACACAAATGGGTCAAATGAACCTTAAGATCATACTTACCACATCAAAAGCGAAATAAATGTCAAGTGGATGAGATTCAATATTTAATCTCACTATAAAAGCAGTAAAAAGGTGTGTCACGTTCAAAAATATACTTTTCATCCTGTACATGGTACGTCTAGTGAAAATGACAAAGGACTTGGAACCAATAGCGAAATAATACATTATTCATTGGCTTTTGTACTAGTTAAAAAGGCTACAGTTGATATATGAATCAAAAACTTCTTCTTTTAAATGTGCCTATGTTCTATAGATGTTGGCGACCACATTGACCTATCTTATTATATTTACAGCAGCTCGAAATAGATTCACCAGTCCATTTCCTAAGATTGGCCAGCCAGGATTTACGTCTATGTCCAAGGCCTCTCTTACCTTAATCTTGCCCTATAGAATCCACTGTATGATGTGGCCGAAGTAAGCCAATTTTCTGTTTTTTATGGTCTTAATAATTTCTTTGTCTTTTCTTAGCCTCTGGCTACTATCAACTACACCAATTGTAAACCTACAACAATCATTTTTAGGCTGTATTTAACCGTTTTGTAGGAACATTATTGTTTATTGTAATCGGGAAACCGTAGAAACCTCATCATCTTATCACCAAACAGGTGATAACTTACTAAATTATTTTTATTTGTTCCTACTTTTATTTTCAGACGTTTTAAAAAAAATTTTTGGTGGAATAAATTTTGAATATGATTTAATTGTCCGTATAATAGCAACATACAGTATGTAATGACTGCCAATTTTGTACGTAAGTTACCAGTGCAACCAAGTACGTGTACAAATCGTCGTTCCTTTTTTGAGACTATTAACCCTTTTCATGTGTACATTATATAAAGATATACAATTTGTTTATATTTATTTTGAGTAACAGTATATATGTTTTTGTACAAAAAAAAATATAGTTGTACTTATTAGTTTGCGCAGGAACTATATCCGCCTTGTTTTTAAAATGAGAAGAATAGCATGTGCATGTTTGGCCTAAATATTCCACCAAAAAAGAAACTGAATATTCCATGAAGTGTATATTCCACCAAAAACAGTAAGTTTGTGTTCTAAGAAAATTTCAAAAAATATAAAGATAATTTATGGAAAAGACGAACGGATGACATAGAAATTCCTTTCCTATTCCTATATTTACAACAAGAGTTTGGCAAATTAAAGGAGATGGATTTGTAATAGTACTATTAAAGTCTATACCAACGAATGAATTGGGGACTATCCGGGAAAAGAATAAAGGAGACGCCCCAGATAAAGTTTTAAAAACGAATGGAAGGAAATACAACAAAGGAAAATAAGAAACATGGTACAGGGCGTTAAAAATATACAATGAAATAAAAAAAGGATGAGAAAACATAAAAATAATGTCCGAGAAAAGCATTTTGAAGTAAAAAAACAACTAAAGCTTCCAAAAGTACGTATATATAGCTTAAAAAAGTGACTTGGTATATTTAATTGATTTTAAAAAAAGTTGCTGACATGACGAAACTAATTTATAAGTACTTGTGAAATATGGATTTGGTAACAGTCAAAGCAAGGTGTTGAGGATTATTAAAAATGCCACTAAAATGATAAATGTGAAAAATTATCAATTATAAGCTAAGTAAAACTTTTAAATTATGTAAGAAGAATGTTAATGTTGAGTGTTTGGCATAATTAATATTTAGGAACGTCAAAAATTGAAATGTATGACGCCATACATTTTTAGGTTATATAAATGTCTTAATTCTAAACAAACGAATTGATCTACGTTATTTCTACGGCAATTAAATAATGTATAAACATTACATAAGGTATTACGGTTGCCTTTTAGGGTTTATGATTAATAAAAACAATAACCCAACAAAATATTTTACTTGGAAAAACGTTCAATTCGTTTTTAAAAATTAGTTCTTTTTTATTGATATATTCGCAAAAAAAATAAATAATTGATGGCCCAAATTATTTTAACAAGTTGCAAAAATCAATTACTTTTAAAAATGCATTAGAATTTAATTTGCTTAGAATTAAGACTTCGACAATCTGTGCTGTGTGACGTCATGACCAACGAAGTATGTCGTGATATGACAAATGATTATTCTGAAGTGATACCGTAGCGATATGGGTCAATTTTTTGGTGGAATGAACTGGGTAAAACGTGCTTCTTAAGTGATATACAAAGGGTGGATTTAGTTGATTGCGCAAATAGAAAATTTTATGATTACCTGATGTATTGTACATCATCTTGAGTTACCGTTATTTCTGTTAATTAACATAAGGTTATCTGAGCTTGTTTATTAGAAAATAAAACAAATTATTATTATATTCTTTTATTTTTGTTCTTTACCTATCTCTTCCTATATAGTTATCCATAGATGGCGCTACGCTAGAAGGATTATGACATCTGCCATCTAACGTATATGACCTGTCAAAATTTTAAGGGAACCGACATGTCAAAATATCGAGCAAAGCTTAACTTTAAAAAAATGCTTTTTGCAATTTTTACAAAAATGTAAAAAGTCGAATATTGTCCAATTATTAAGAACCTTTATCTGAAGGGAAAACGAAAGACACGGCCGACTATATCTCCGTGATGGAGATGTGTTATGAGATATGTTAAATATAATTGTTAAGAATCTTATAATATATTATTGTATATAATATATTATATTCATGAAAACTACAGCTTGTTATGTTTAGAAAACTAAGGCATGCGTTTATAGTATACGTACAGACAACAAAATAAAAATGGGTCTCTTAACCAAAAAGGTAACCATCAAATCAAATATATCTAATATACTATAAATAGTTTATAAACAACTATAATATATTGCTTGACTTAAACTTTCAGATGAATTTGCCAATGTTCTGTTTATAATCATTTCACAATCATCGACTCCACTCACTATAAGATTCTTGCAGGACATATTTCTGCTTTTAGTAGTTCAAATGTACCACAGAATGTATCCAACAGAGGATATTGGAAGCACAACTAAAAACTACACAAAACAAACATATTATTATGTCAAAACAATCGCAGATTCATGTTTCTCCTTGTAGTAGTTCAAAATGTACCACTTTGTACATCAATTAATTAGACCAATAATGTGTCAAACACAAGGCGAGTCACCTTGTATAATTAATTCAAAAATTAATTGAGTCCATCAATATTTCTCATTAAATTTTCTATTTAAGCCAAGTTTTAAAATTATTACGTCACCCTGTATAATTAGTATTTATACCATTGATTAGCATTTTTTATAGTCTTTTCAATGATATATCACAAGTAGAGTTTGCATTTAACTCTGGTTGTGGTGCGTGGGGCCTACGGGTTTGGGGGTGAGTTCCCCATACCCCGGTGTTATTTTAGATCCCCCTTACTATCGTAGAGCGATTTCAAACATTTTCGATATCGACTTTTGTTGTGAGATATAGCCCGTGTAGTGCCAAAATTGACACTGTATATTCAAACGCTATAATAAGCAATGAGAAACTATAAAAATTCAAATATACCAAGGAATGCATCAGACAGAAAAAAACTGGACGCACAATTAAAACCTAGACCAACAAAAAAATAATATGTCAAAAAAATCTTGGGTCAATAAAATATAATCCAAGGGTAAATTGTAAAAAAATCATCATGTTAATTGATGAATGGCAAACAAATAATATCAATTTAAATATTAAACCGTGTACAATTTTATCCAAAAATAGCCACAACTGCATTTTTATTAAATTATATAAATAGTACTGTGAAGTATTGGGTGTTGCATACATACAAGGAAAATATTGATTTTTAGTGGAGTTTAGATAGGATTGATTTTGTCCTATGCTCTAATGTAAGAAATGCGTTGTGTTGAGTGTGACGTAGGCGTGGGGATTCGTGGTCGACATTTCTTATTGTTTTATATAGAGTAGTTGTGCCTGCTGCCACTTTTTTTGTTGTACTAGCGATTTTAAAGGTCTTATAAGACTATTTAATTATTGTTTCTATATCAATTTACTTCTATAAACAAAATGGGTGGTAATATATGTGCCATATATGACTGTGACAATAATTTTAAGAGTGTGAAATCCAAGAATATGCCTGTTTTTTCAAGTTTTCCAAAAGGAGAGCATTTAGTGTCGAAAACTATAGGACTGAATGGGTTAATCGATGCAGAAGAGCTGATAATTTTAGTCCTGGTACTTGTAGAATATGCTCTGTTCATTTTACAAACAATGACTATGAAAGAGATCTTCAAAATGAATTATTATGTAAAATAAATAAGCAATAAAATGCCTATAAAATTTTTTTAGCGTAACTTATTTTAGGTTTACCTACTAAACGCCTTTTAAAGAAAACTGCAGTTCCAACACTTTGTTTATATAAACATACCTTTGACACACCAACTCTACTCGTAAAGGTAGATTAGATGTTGGAAACAAAAAGCAACTTGTAGCAGAATTACAAAGGTTGATTCAAATATTTTGAATATTGCATCTAATCAACATGAACATACTATTACTGAATCTGAAAGAATTTTTGAAACAAGCTGGGTGACAATATAGATTTAAAGCCTGAAGTAGATTTTGAAGCAAAATACAACGAATTATTAAACAAGTATGAAAAATTAAGAGCTGATCATTCCAATTTGAAGAAAAAGAGTCAAATGAAAAATAAAAACTTTAACAAGTCAGTTGAGGTATTCTAAAGCAAAAAATATGAACGTTCAGAAAAAATTTTAAAAAATCTGTCTGCCACCTCATATTGCGTTGTCAGTGATTTACAGAAAACTACAGAAGATGACTTAGAATACATCGCTGGGTATTTAGCAAAAAAAAGATAGTTTCCTGATTTAGGTAATTTCACTACAAAGTTAGTGAACATAGTTTACCATGATGGGTGCAGCAACTCTCTTTTGGAGGTCTTATCAAGCCTACAGATAAGTGGTTCATAAAAATAAAATAATGAAATAAATATTATGAAAAAATATATTGATACCTATAGGAAAAATAATGGAGTGGTTGGAAACATTTCAAAAAGGATTTTAAAAAAAGAAAAAGTGTTGCCATATGCGCTTACTAAAAACTTTTGTAAACTTAGAAGAATAATTAGAATAAATTATAGACATTTAAAATTCATAGAAGCTGCATGAAAATTTGAAGCAAAAAACTTATCGTGTCGGATTCAACTGGGTCCAAAAATTAGAATGTTACTAAATGTTTCGGTAGTATGTGTATTACTGTTTAGTTTTACCTATGTATGTTTATGAAATAAATGGTTCAGTATTGAATAGTTTTATTTATCATCAAATGTTTTTCGATATTAATTTGTGCTCTGACTACGTAAGTAAAACACGATTTATAGATTTTGTTTACCAGAAATATTTACTTTGAGAGTAAACTGACATTAATTTATTAATTTAATTATAACACTAGCAAATGCACTCATTTCGAAAATAAATTTTATTTGCCATGTAAAACAGATCATTAAAAATTTGTAAGTCTGAATGTCTTAGGTATTGTTAAAAATCTGATTATCTGCCATCTATTTACAAAAACAAAATGTAAATTTTTCGTTTTAAACTTTTTAATCTTAAATTAATGCTCATCTTCCGTTCAAGTTAATAGTAACAATAAGTCGATAATTGCTTGTCATCCCCACACCTACGTCACAGCGCGTGTTGTAGTGACAGACAAATTTGGGAGATGAAATCCTATGTAGTCAACGTTCTTGGGTACTGTTACTTGTCCAAAGGAGGGCTAGACTAGGACATTATACATAATATCTACAAGATATTTGGATATAAACAAGTTACTGCATATGTAAGACTTAAAAGGGATCTTTTGGCAATGATCATACTCAATTCGAAATTTTTCTGTGAATACATTAGTGTTGACGAAACATGAGTTTGAATACCGGGCATAAAACATTATCCGATCGACCGGACGTAAGAGCAGCTGTTCTTGGGATGCGAAAGGTATTATTCACATTGATTACTTAAGTATGCAGCTCTATTGAACCTTTTCATACCGATTTGGAGAAAACACACTGGCGTATCTTACAAAAAATGATCTTCCATCTGAACAAAGCACCCGGCTCAAAAGCCGCGTATAAAAATTAGACCCATTGACATATGACCTGATCAGCCATCCATCGTACTGGCCAGTTTTAGCACCGTGTAATTACTTCATGTCCCCAAAATTAAAAAAAAAGTCTCAAAATAACATAAGTCGAAAAAAAAAATCGAACAAAATTATTTTTCGCAAGAAAAATGTTATATCTGGTGTAAGTATTGTATTTTCTTCAGTAGTTCTGCACATAAAAGCCATGACCCAGTCAAAGCTTACAATTTCGCCTTTTTTGCTGCTCATCAGTTAGTCGTAGGTACAAGAGAGACTCAAATCAAATAACACAACTGTGTCTCCGTCATCCTGCACTGGAGCAATAGCTTACACGGTATCCTTTACGTTGATGACTTTAAATGTACCAGACAATACCCACATAGGGCAGATTTCTAGATTTTTCCTTATATACAGATATGTTCGACACAGCATTACACTGTTGCCAGATTTAATGAAATGATTATATTCCGAATATATTTATCTACAAGATGTAGATGTACAACAGCTTAATTTTTAAGTAGAAGAAAAAAAACAACAGTGTAAAATATAAATATTTTTATTAAAAATATAAATGCTCTATAACCTAACAGGTTAATAAAAATCATAAATAATATTTCTTTGTGGTAGGTACATGTAAAACATTTGCATAAATATTATTATATAACAACTTATGTCAATCGGAGTAATCCATGGTTTTGATGTACTCAACGGCAGCGCAGAACTGAGTCCACCAGTACTCCTCTTCCCCGAACAGTTGGCTGTGGAAAAAACTGTTCACGTATTGAATGGTTGAGAGGAGAGCTTCGGGATTGACCTTTAAACATATATAAAAATGAATTCAACAGTAGTAGTAAGTGTCGATATGATATGAATCACTCAGAATAGAAATGCGGACACATTTATGTTTCGAATAGTTCAAATGTATCACAGATAGTTTTACACAGTATGAATGTAATCGCACAATTCGAAATTAAAAAATACAATATCTTAGACAAAGAAGCTAGTATTATATTTACTCTTATAGTAGTTCAAAATACCACGTCATATCTAGGGTGCCAGGGAAAAAGAGTATAAGTCACAAATTTGTCAAAATGAGTTAAATACAAAAAACGAGTTAACATTGTATTTGCCACAGTTTGGTAAAAAGAACATAAGTCTTATTTGCTTTAAAATTCTATTTTATCCATTCGGTCGAAACAATATAACTATCTAAGCCTGATACAATTAGTACAAGTCAACTTATACTATGAAGATAACTTTTTATGTCTGAACAAACTGACTTATACTCTTAGTACCTAACCTAAAAATTATTTAAGCGTTGCGTTTATGATTGTTTACATGCAATTCGAAAACAAAAAAGTAAAAAATAATTAAAAACCATTTAAAAAAGTATACTGATAAGCAATGGCTAATTCAAGAACCAAAAGAATGTTGGAACTTTTGAAAAACAACGGTAGGTTGAAATATTTATAACTTTATAGTTCGTTTTTGTTATTTATATTATTGTAGGGTTAGAAATTATAAACTTGTTTCATGTTAGATAATAATATCGGGATACAGACTGTTAGAATTTTATACGTATAATTGAGATTTTTTATAGTATTTAAATATGTCAAAATCAATAAATTTGATGAATACTTTTAGACGAAGGCAAAAACCAAATCGGTGAAAGTTTTTGTTTTTCTTCTGGATTACATATAGAGCAGGAGACCACTGTTGTTAAAACCACTGATATTACTCTTTGGGATATGGATTTACAATTGCTTTCTACTACAGCGGGATTGAGGAATGAAAACACGAATTTAGATGCTGTTCCAGGTAAAACATTTTTGTTCTGCTTCATATAAAATGAATTAATTATATTCATTTTTAGGTACTTCAAAAGACCCTATTAATACTACCAGTGAAATAGATTTACTGAGACCATCTGATGATAGTGACCTTGATAAGGATTATGTTGCAGAATCAAGTGATGAAAGTGAAGATAACCCAGAAGTATTTAAAGTAAGTACGAGCCAAAAGAAACAGAGAAGGCGGAAACATAAATTGTATGATGCAGCTAAAGCAACAGTAGAATATGAAATTGAAAAAACTAAAATTACTGCACAAAAAGGAGCATTTACAAGAAAGAAAAGAGCAGAACGAAAACTGAAAAGAAACATGGGAGAAAGTTATGTGACTGCTAAAGGCAAAGTGGTTAAAGAAAGAATGTCAACTCCATTGAATGACTGTAGGATGAAATGTAAAGATAAGCTAGAAATAAGACTTGACAATGAACTAACAGTAAGGGAACATATATTTAAACAATACTGGTCTCTTGCGGATAGAAATAAAAGAGTAAGATTTATTGCTGGGTTAGTAGACACTACTGAACCTGCGTCATCTAGGAAAAGAACCACAGACCCAGAAAAAGAAAAAAATCGTTTAAAAACTCATCGTTTTCATTTTGTTGTAAACAATGAACGAATTCATGTATGCAGAGGTTGTTTCATGAAGGCTCTAGGCGAGACTCAAATGTTTGTTACTTTAGCACTGGTAAATAAATGTTCAACCCTATCTGGGATAACATATGACGATAACAGAGGTCGTGAGGCTTCTGCTAACAAACTTAGCACAGACAAAATAGAAAAAGTTAAAAGTCATATTTTGTCTTTTCCTCTTTACAAATCCCACTATACACGAAGAGAAAGTACCAGGCGATATCTTCCACCTCACCTAAATCTACGAATTATGTTCGAACTTTATTGTGAACAAAATAAATCTGAAGAGAAACCAGTGTCAAGGCAGATTTACGAACGCGAATTTCACAAAATGAACCTAAGCTTTAAAGATCCTAAGGTCGACACTTGTCACAAATGCGATTTGTTAGATATGAAATTAAAGATATCTACACCGGAAGAAAAAAGCAATATAGAACGTGAATTAGCTGACCACCATCAGGAGGCTGACAATGCTTACCTTGAAAAAAGAAACGACAAAAATATGGCCAAAGACGATGAAACAATGCGATGCTATACGTTTGATTTACAGCAATGTCTTCCTACTCCAATGCTAAATACATCTGTTGCATTTTATAAACGACAGCTATGGACCTACAATTTAACTATGCATGAAACTAGTACAGGTAATGTCACATGTTACATGTGGCATGAAGCTGAAGGTGGTAGGGGAGGAAATCAAATAGCTACAAGCATTTACAAAGAACTAATTTCCCTTCCTCCACAAGTAAGCAAAGTAATATTATATTCTGATACTTGTGGAGGACAAAATAAAAATTCTCATGTTGCTGCAATGTTTCTGGTTGCTATGCAAACTAATCAGAATCTAACTTATATAGATCATAAGTTCCTCATTAGTGGACACACTCACATGGAATGTGATGTCGATCACGGTCTGATTGAGAAGCAAAAAAAGAAATTACAAATTCCTATTTCTCATCCATATGATTGGTACCAACTTGTTCGTTCTGTGGGAAAAAAGAAGAAATTTAGCGTGGTAGAATTGACCCATTCAGATTTCTTAAATTTTGCCGATCTTCTTAAATCGGACCTGCAGCTTAGGAAAAAAGACAACGAAGGAAATTTATTTAATTGGCACTCAGTCAAGTGGTTTCGATATACTCGCGAATATGGAAATGTTTATTTTAAACAAAGTTTAAGACATGATGTTCCTTTTAAGTGTTTAAGTCTTATCCGGAGGGGACATCCAAATGCTCAGCTAAATCCAACCAGATGTTATACCTCTACGTTACCCATTTCAAAAGAAAAGAAAAAAGATATATTGGATCTCTTACCCCTAATTACTCCTACATTTCATGATTTTTATAGAAATCTCAAGACAAGTGACATGCCTGATACTTTTCCTGATGGAGATGGTTCGGAAAATTGTGACGAAAGTACTTAATGTGTTTTTTTATTTAAGTTTTTAAATTACTTTAATGTTTTTCTGTTTACCTGATAGAGGTCCAAATATTATATGTTAATTTAGTATAGTGGTCAATATAATATAAGTCGTTAATTTTTTCTAAAGTAGCTTAGATATTACTTTGTTTCAAACTTACATTTAGGTAACATGCTATAAGTTTTTTTTAGTAGATATTTAGTTTAAAATTTTTTTAGATACGTTTTTGAAATAATAAAATGCTATTCCTGTAAAATTAAGATTTTTGACTTATACTCTTTTTCCCTAGCAGCCTAGATATATCAATTATAAGTAGATTGGAAAGAAAATACAAAGTTGAGTAAAAAGCAACTTCACGAAAGAAACTTCAAGACTCTATATTTGCTTCTACTATATTTAACAAAAGAAGATCGAATACAAAATCCAAATTAACTGAGTGAACACTCTTTTTCTGCTGTGAAAAAAACTGTTCAAAATATATTGGAAAAAAGAATACAAAATTGACAAACGACCAAACCTAAAGATGTGCTAAATAAACTTATATAGTATTTGCCTACAGTAGTTCAAATGTACCGCTCAGGCGATAAACAAAAAAAAACAAAATTTAAAATTGGCTGAGTTCATCAGCACAGTTGTCCGTCCAAGCCAAATCTGTTCACGTACCTTCAAACATAATATAAAGTGAATTCAGTGGTTGTCAGTGTCAATATGATCTGAAGCCTTTATGTTAAGCTATTGACAGCGTTGCAGTCACAGAAAGTGAGTAACCATAAGAAAATCTTCTAACTAACTTTACCATTGAGAAAAGTGAAAAATTATGTTAATTCCTGAACCTGGAAAACAATATTTGAACTATTCTTTCATATACGAAGAGAACTGTTGGATCTTCATTACTTTGATAATAGTTTTGGTAGAATGTATCAAGTGTTCTTGTTTGGTTAGGTTACACTGTCGTATCATGTCAACGTTGTGCTTATTTGTCACCTACTGAGATAAGCCTATTATTGCCACCGAGTATACATGTGACCAACATTTTCCTTTATCTTGCTGATCTACCCAATTCATTCGCGCACCTAATGGAAAAAACAATAATTGTCTTACCTTAATTATCACAAAAACTAAAACAGGCATAAAATCATCAGCTGTCGTGGACGATCCACTCTGAGACATCGCCAACAGATCCATGATACACTTGGAGCAATGAACAATGCATTTAACTTTGTCTCTTGGCGTCTTGTATACATTTAACGCCCTTAAAGCATCTTGAGCCGGTAACCAAGGACATTCGCGAAGGTACATCTTGTCGATTTCGAGATCCTTATGGTCTGGTGTTATGATTTTGGATAACTTTTCAATATGGTTATGCAGCACTCTAAAAATTGATGAGAATATTAAAAAAGCATAAACATACATAAAAATTTAACTACGTTTTATTTGACCACCGTTAGAAAAAAAATCATAGAACATATTAATAAGGATGCGGTTATTATTAATTTATTGGTTACTACAGTGGAGTAAAAAATAGTAAAGTAAAGAGTAGTGTAAAGGTTGTAAGAGAATAAGCAATCGATAGGAAAAGGTGCTCAGATCTGCTAGACCTGTTCAAACTTACCGGTCCCGATCTCGATCGCCATCCCCGTTTGGATAAATGGAATTCTTGTAAGTTTTGTTCATGATAAATCTTTCCAAAGTAATTTTTAATGTCTTTTCTCTGTTACGAACAATACCTAGAAATAATGTTAGAAATAAAAATAAAATAATGAGCCTGTTATTTTAATAGTCTGTGGTTTATTTGAACCATAAATTCGTTTGTAAATATAAACTGATACAAGTATGAAATTTGCAGTAGATATTTCTGCTTCACGAAGTAGTTCAAACGTACCACAGAATGTATTAAACGGAAGGAGATTGGTGTAGCAGACATAAAAGAAACAAACTATATTCTAAAAAGAACATTATTTTCTTAAATATACCACATTATATAAATATGAAAATTTCTTTTGGTAGTTCAAATGTACCGCTTATGTATCAAAAAGGGGATTTAACACACAATTAAAAAAAATTAGAAAACAAACATTACTTTATGGCAAAATAACCTTTGCTGTTTAATATTTTAGTATATATTTAAAATACTCCACTTTATACAGAAATCAGAACTATGTACATACATATATTTGCTACTACGAGTTCAAACATAAAAGATCCATAAAACACGTTGCGTTAAACCTCCATTGGGATCAATTTTTCTTCTAGTAGCTCAAATATATCACCTCATAAGTTAGATGGAGGTAAATGGTAAACAAATAGATAAAGCAGAAAAAAACATTATAAAACCAAGCTAAAGGTGTGTATAAACTTCAGCTCGGATATTTGCTAGATACAAGTAGTTCAAATGCACCACAAACAAGGAGTTGGATATATAACTCAAAATTAAACAAACATTTTGTGTCAAAACATATAATATGAACCATTTCTTCTACTAGTAGCTGAAATGTACCATACAGAAGCAAAAAATAAATGAGAAACATTAGATAATCAAGAAAAAAGCATTATAAAAGCAAGATACCTGTGTGTCAAAGAAACTTACAGCTAATTTACTTGCTATTAGCAGCTAAAATGCACCATATACAAGACGACGCGATTGAATACATAACTCAAATTAAACCAACATGTGTGAGACGGTTGTAGGCATATTTTTTTCTTGTAGCTTAAATAAATCATCAAAACAATGGTAAATGGGAACTAGAATAGAGAATGAAGAAACAAGCCTTATATAAAAACTCAAAATGAAGGTATGTCAACGAAACTGCAGGCTCATATTTTTACATTTGGTAGTTCAACTGTACCGCGGTTCAAAACTAAACAAACACAATATGCCAAAGAGACATTGGATACATTTCTTCTTCTAGTAGTTCCAATGTGCTGTGGCATAAGCTAATCAGAGGTAAATAGGAAACAGAATTGATAATGAACAAATGAGTAAAAGAATAAAATTAAGGTAAATGTGTGTGTCACATGAACCTTAAGAGCATATCTGAACTTCTGAGACAAGAAGGTAAATATCAGAACCTTTCTTTGTGTTTCTTTTTGTTAAAAGGTTTTGTTTTGTTTAAGGTAACTGTTTTATAATTATAAAATAGACATTTTTTTAAACATTCAAAGTCTAAATCAGGTTCTTAAGATATACACAATATTATAGTTGTTCTCACAGTACAAAAATGACATTGTTGAATTATTTCGATAGTTTGGCAATTACCACATAGTTCTTGCATTACCTTTCCAAGCCGGGCTGCTCTTCATGATAAGAAACAGCTTGGTGTAGAATCGCTGCAGCAAGTCGCACTTTTCATCGGCCAAACTGAGTTGCCTAAACTCTTCGCAAAATTCAAGTATTGCAGATTCCTGTTCTGATAGAAATTCTTTAACACAGATCACTGCCAAGTATCTCTCGCACTGGTATTTGTCATTGGTTATTTGTTTCTGTAGGCTAAAAGAGACAAAAAAAATGTTTATTATTATGTTTATACTGTTCTATGTATTTTTATACGATTTTTAAACAAGAAATTTGCATAAACAAAAAATCGGTACATTTCTAAAATGATACCGAATTAAGAAACAAACCAAACTCAACATGTTTTAGCAATTCAAATGTACCGATAATACCCCAACCAAAAGAATGTTACATAAAATTCAAAATTAAACAAAAAAAAACAAATAATATGATAATATGAAGTTATAACACAAATTCAATATGAAACAAAAAAACATATGTTAAATCAAGCCAAGGATCATGATTACTCTTGTAAAAGTGCAAATATCCTGATCTATACAGTAATCAGAACAAAATTAAAAAAATTCAAAATAAAGAAAAAAACCAATCTAAAGATGTTCCAGAGAATTTCAAGTCCACACTTTTGTTTTTAGTAGTTGAAATGTACCTTGAAGGCTTCAAACAAAAGGATGTTAAATAAAAATTCAAAATTAAACTAAAAAACTTTAGTATGTCAAAAAAATTTGTAGTTTTTAAAAAATAATTAAGATTACGATAAAGTATGCAATATAAGATTTACACAAAAGACAATAAAAACGTTAAAAGAACCATAAGAGCATGTTTGCTGTGAAAGTAGTTCAGATGTACCACATTATACATTTATTTATTAATTAAAAGTCATGTCTTTATGGTGTGCATTGTATGATTTTCAGATTAGAGATTCCAATAAGTGCATAATGTTCTCCTATTTGTGGAGTCCGTTAAACTTTATATTGCACAGTTTTATTCCATGTTGTTATTGTGCAATACATTCAGAAACCCCAAATAACCGCTAATATTGCTGTTCTCTTGGAACTCTAGCCTTATCTTGTAGCAAAGCATGTATTGTTTGAGTGGAGTGTTGTCTATACCGCGAAGAATCAGATTTATACTTTTAGTAGTTCAAATGTACCACACGTTCAAAATAAATCCACGTAAATTGGAAAAGAAATAAAATTAAGGAAAACAAGAAGCAGATCTAAAAGAACTTGGGAATTGATTTCTCTTGTTTTAGTAGTTCAAATGTGCCAAGGATGCGATCATGTTCTCCTGCTGGTACAGACAGATACGGCGGTAGGCCATCTTTCTTTTTAATGAAATATGATCTAGGATTTATTATATACTCAGGAGGATTTCATCAAAGGCGACTGAAGTAAGTTTGAGTGATGGAAAAGGACGTTTTCTTCTCAGTGACAGTCTGAAATACATGACACTGTGCTAACTCTTTTTATAATTACCTTTATTGACATAGAAATAAGGGTATTGGTTGGGTTGTTCACTGTTATTTAGTCTTTAGTAAAACAGAAGATTTACACTCTTTTCCCCAAGAGTCATAACTCGCTTAATGATGATCTGCACCCTATATTAATTTATTTCTGATCCTAGACATGGCTCTACTGCGGCATGCTGCTGTGGTAATTTTTTTAACTTAATTGTAGATTTCTACATGATGACTCTGTAATATTTTCAAACCCTAACATAAATTACAGTTTTCTATCGTTATATCCATTGGTTGAGTTGCCAAGTTGTGTAGCCAGTATTTTTATCAAATATGATTTTACGCCATTTATTGCTGATAACTTTATTACTATAGTAGAACAAGTAAGCAAGATATCTGTTGACAACATCTTTATGTATAATATTTTACTGCTCTGCTGTGTCAATTCTAATAACAAATTTGGAACATTTGTTATTAGAATATAAGGTTCCATAAACAGATATAATTGAAAACTGATTCATATTATCTAAACACTGTCATCGACCAATGAAAATATGGCGATACTTAGGCGGCGATATCTGTGAATCTCCAGATTATTACCATCACATTCATAATTTTCATCATATACTACATTTTTGTTGATAGTTAATAATTAAATCATCTGGAGTTATTTAATATCTTAGTGGGAATTACATTTAGGTAAATCCACAAGGAAACTAAGTTGCTGTAGCTGGCTGTATACCATGTATCACAAAAAAATTATTTAAAAATCCTTTATACAAGGTATATAATTAAAACACCCTATCGTATGATAGGGATAGATGTAAGACTCTACAATCTCGAAACTCACCTATTTAGATAACTTTCACAAAACAGCAACTCTTGCTTTGATGTGATCAAATATTTGATATACGTAGCTCGAAGAACGATATCAGAGCGCATAGAACGCAGCAATTTAAGGCAGCTTTCGTCGTTTAATAGATTGATGCACCGTATTGCCTCCGATATTCTCGCCACTTCGGACCATTCTCTCAGTCTTCTCGCTTTGCCCAGTTCCAGACGTAGCATCGTTTCAATTTTATTCTTAATACTAAAGGGGTTATTCTAAAACAAAAAAGAAATTCATTGATTGTATATTATTGGAAGAGCAAAGTTTTATGAAAAAATTTGACAATGTGAGATACGACTTGAATGTCTAGAAAATAAACATTTTGATGTTCTTACCTTAAGGTAATGTGGAATTTCCCAAGTGTTGCTTAAAACTAAACGTAATTTGTTCTTAATATCATTAAAACTATTAACTTCTTCACTATTGCTTCTGTACACATTTTTTCCTTTTAGAGATTTATTCGAATCACAGTTTTCTTTAATAGTCTCATTCTCGACGAAGGGTTTTGTTCGATATTTGGCTAAAATATCATCCGATACTTCTAAAAAAAAAACAATAAGTTACGTTAGCACTATATTATTTCTTATTTAACTAATGATCTACCCTAGTTCATTTAGGTCCGAAATCTATCATTTAAATATAATCCTTCTGGACTCGCACATCAGTTCCAGTTTGAGATTGTTACCTAATTATTACCGATTAAATCACAAATGTTGGACAGTAATGATTTCAGCAAATAATATACTCCTTATAGGGTTAAGTTACTTTTTGAATACCAGTATGATACTGATCTTGATGTCCTGAACGAGAGACAAAAGTTCACCTCATATTGAATTTAAGTTCTTGTTGCATGGGTTCAAGCATTATCTATTACCAATAAATGATTGTATAAAAGATTACATGCTACCAAACACTCCCCTGATCTGTATACATGACTTCCATCGGGCTTTCCACCGCCTTCGGGCTTCCATAATTGTACTCTTGTTTAATCTCCAAAGATAACTTTTCTCTTATGTTACCAAAAGAATCTTAATGACATGTTTACTGCTGTCTTAGTTTAAATCTATCAAATTTTACAAAAATCAGGGGTAGATTTAAAAAAGAATTCAAAATTAAGAAAAAAAAACCAATCCGAAGATGCCCCGAAAGAAATAAGCCTATAGCTCTGCCTTTAGTAGTTCAAATGTACCGTGGATGACTCAATAAACAAATTGTTAAAAATCAAATTCAAAATTAAACAAAAAACAGACATAAAATGTGCCAACGAAACATTTGACTTATACCTACTGTTGTATTAGTTTAAATATATCAGATTTCACAAAAATCAGAAGTAGATTTAAACAATAATTTTATTCAAAATTAAGAAAAAAAAACTAATCCGAAGATGCCTCGAAATAAATAAAACTATGGCTCTGCCTTTAGTAGTTCAAATGTACCGTGGATGACAATCAACAAATTGTTAAAACCATATTCAAAATTAAACAAAAAACAGTCATAAAATGTGCCAACCGAACCTTTGACTCACACCCACTGTTGTATTAGTTTAAATATATCAGATTATACAAAAATCAGAGAAAGATTTGAAAGAGAATACAAAATTAAGAAAAAAAAAAAACAATCCGAAGATGCCCTGAAAGAAATAAGCCTATAAATCTGTTTTTAGTAGTTCAAATGTACCGTGGATGACTAAATAAACAAACTGTTAAAACCAAATTCAAAATTAAACAAAAAACAGACATAAAATGTGCCAACCGAACCTTTGACTCATAACCAGTGTTGTATTAGTTTAAATGTATATACAAAAATCAGAGAAATATTTGAAAGAGATTACAAAATTAAGAAAAAATAAACTTAAACGTGTATCAAAAAACTTCAAGCCTGTATATTTGCTTTTAGTAGTTCCAATGTAGTTGAACACAAAATACAAAATCAAACAAAAAAAAACATAATTTCAAGTTAAAAGACCTTTAGGACCATGTAGTAGTTCAAATATTATAGAACATAATACATAAGTCTGTGTCTTTAATTTTAGTTGTTCAAACGTACTGCGGATAAGGCAAATCTGCCTTCTGAACAAATATAATATCTTATAAAGGATCATGTTTACTCTTGTAGTAGTTCAAATATACCACGTTTTATGAAATCAGAAGTAGATTGAAATAACAATAAAAATTTAAGAAAAAATCAGAATTAAAGATGTTCGAAAAGAAGGTCAAGCCTGTTTACTTGCTTTTACTAGTTCATAAATACACACTACGAATGCCCCAAACAAAAGGAAGTTGAACACAAAATACAAAATAAAACAAACATAGTTTCAGGTTACAGACCCTTCATCTCATGTTTCATCTTATAGTAATTCAAAGATTACACAGCATTATACATCAATCAGAAACAAATTGAAAAAAAAAAATACAAAATTATGGAACAACTAATCTAAAGATGTTCCAGAAGAACTTCAAGTCTGTGTCTTTGCTTTCAGTAGTTCAAACGTACTGCGGATACGTCAGATCTGCCTCAAGAACAAATATAATATCTTGTAAAGGGTATCTTAGAAGCATAATAACTCTTGTAGTAGTCAAATAGACCACGTTATATTCAATCAGTAGTAGATTAGAAAGAAAATACAGTGCTCTTATGTTGGTCTACTCGTACAATTTGTGACGTAGATGAAACTGAGGACTCTCCGCAGGATTTGGTAGAGTCAAAGTTTCAAATATGGGTCCTCTTTTGGCAATTTACGATCTTGACAAAGACGACCATACGAGAAACAGTCGATTGATGAATATATGTTATCTGTACCCCTAACAGAATAGCCAAACAATTTTCACAACATTTATTGTATTTAGATGATTTATCTTAACACACTCAGGCGACAAAAACAGTGGAAATTCATTCTAGCAATGTTAATTTCATTCTGAAAACATCAGTAAACATAATTCATTGTTTTGTTTCTCAAAGCACGTTAGCCAAGTTATTACTTTTTTATCATTCTCGCTTATTCATTTCGATTATTATTTTAGCTGTAATAAATTGCAAAATACACATAACACTTATAATACTAACTTACCTGTATTATTTCCTAATTTTACAGCATTTTTACCTACGAAGCCGTCGTTATCGAGACGAAACTCTTCTTGGTTTCGCAGGCTCTTTCCTCGTCTATTTTGAAGCCCATTCTCAATTTCCCGAAGAATCCGCCGCGTTTAGATCTACCGTCGTCGTCCAGTCCCTTATCGGCGCTCATGTCGAAGCTGATGCTCTTAGGAATGGCGCCGGTCGAAACGGACGGCTTCAGACCTCTACCAGCTGAAAGCATCGATATTATAGATTTACGTTTTTCAGTGCATTCAGGGATTAAGTGAAGCAAACACATATATTAAATTCTAATTACATTAATAATTCTCGCCTACAATTCACACGGATATCGCTTACAAAACACTTCGCTTTTTCTAGAAACCATCATCTGTTCTAGAAATAGCCAGCGGAGGGACGGAGGACAAATTTCGCGTGATAACACGGAACTCAAGAAGGTTACCGCGACTAGAACATAGATAGAAACGGTTCGTGGAATATTCGGGGAGTACAGCCATTAGGGGCATTTAACACAAAAATACTACATTACTATGGATCTTTTCAGTCGTGATGTACTGCTATGTTTTAGATATATCCAGAATTATTGCGTGTAGTTAAAGAAAATCTATCACATCTGTCAGGATTTTATTAGCGCTAAACGTGCACTTGTTACGAAATTGAAGTCGTATTTTATTGCATATATATATATATATATATATATATATATATATATATATATATTATATATATATATTGATAAAGTTGTATTTTATTAATTTTATTTTTTATTTATAATAAATGTAATTTTTATAATATGTGGTTCGTTGTTTAATTTAATATACCTCGGCTAGCTCAATTATATGTTCTAAGCAATCTGTCACTGTGTGACGTCGACTCTGTAGTCTCCTGGTAGAGTTCAAAAAGAAATTAAACCAAAATTTACTTTAGACCTTTGATAAATTAACCCAAATGAAGCACGTTATTTATTAATATTGAACAAATTTAATATAAACAATAAAATTCGTCTGCAACTTCGGTTGCCTTTAAAAAATTTACAAAAATAGGAATCGTTTAAGTCTTAACGTGGTTTAGTGACGTGACAATAAAATGTATTACAAAATGTGGAGACTCTCTACAAGTACCTAAAAACTAAATAAATATTGCAACTTTATAAAGTGTTTAAATGAACTATAAAGAAAAAGAAAATGAACACTTTATTCCGCTGATACTCAAATATAATCAAAATTTCAAATGATCCCCAAAATTATTGTCCAACCTCACTTTAAAACAGTTCTGATTTCTTTAAAGGAAACTAACTACTCAAAAATAATCGGTGAAACTGGAATATCAATCCTCTCTTCGGAAGTTAAGGTACGTACTATTCTATTTTTAATTTAATGATCATTAATAATTTCAATTTTTAAGGCCTATCGCAATTATGTTAATTCATGAATTTTAATTTTCTCAATTTAAATGACATTTCTATACTCCAATATAATTTATAAGTGAAATTGTTTCTCTTACTCTCTGGAACAAATTTCTGGATATCTCTGCTGTGGAAACTGTGGAAAAACTAAATTCTAATTAGACGAGTTAAAAAACACTCCCGACCTATTCCACAGTTTCAGGGCTCTCCTTCGTCCAAAAAAAACCTCGTCGGCGTCCTCTCCAAAAACCAATTCCTCTTATTATCCGTTGCTAACAGCAACCAACGTTCTTTTTTTTTCTGTCTTCTATTTAAATATTTTAAACCATAAAACTGTCCTGTTTGACATATTTGTCAAGCCACATTACTTTCTCATAATCACTTTAATCACATATAATTTGGGAATTTACAAAAAAAAATGTTTAGATATAAAACTTATTCTATTACAATACTAATTTATTCTTTTCATCTCCACATCATTGTAATTTCTTATTTAACAAAACCCCTATTAATTTAGCTCCCACAGACTGTCAAATAAACTGTCAAGCAGTTTATTTTCTGACGTTTATTAAAATTTCTATGTTTAAATATTTTTTTAAAATTCTTCTTTTTTTGTTCTTTTTAAGGTTTAGACGATTCACCTATACACTAGGCAACTATACTATTCAGAAATTATTAACACTATACCAGGTAAGTCAAAATTAATTTATTTAACAATTTACTAATCTTTTTCTCTCTTTTATTTCAGAGTCGAACCCACATTGTGATGGCTTCATGAAATTCATAAACAACAAACTCATATAAAAATCCATTAAAGTTGTATATATTTTACCATATTGAAATCATTTCAATATATATATATATATATATATATATATATATATATATATATATATATATATATATATATATAGTATTGTGTGAATTAATGGAATCACTGTGAATTTTTTTTCATTTTTTCAATATTCACAGTTGGCAACACTACCTACACAGTTGACAGCTGACCAAGCATTGAAAACATAACCTTACTGTGTGTTGGTGTG